AACAGTGCTGATAGAACTAAAATAAAAATTCCATTTTTTTTTTTTTTTTTTTGCTTTAGTTTTCTGAACCAGTTTAGTGAGGCTCCCTTCTGAGCTCATCAGTATTCAGTTTGCAGGAGAGTGTATGTAGATACATGTGTCTGTGTGCTTGTGAGGTCTGATGGGCTGAAATCCTGACACAACAGTTCAGGAATCTGCATTTGGACAGCAGCATCCAAAGAGAAAACCAGACAGGGTTTCACCTGCTCTTTGCAGATTTCTTCAAAACAGAAATCTTGTGTGTGTCACTTGTGTTTGAATGACCTAATCTTTGGTGGAAATCTGTGGCAATATTATTCCTGCCTCTCAAGCCAGGGATTTGCACAGCAGAGTATTCTTTAATGTCTTTTTTTTTTAACCAGTTAGTTTCATTTTATCAGGCTTCCACTAGACAAAAACAAAAGTATTTAAAAAGTAGGTTTGTGGRAAGACTTCCTCTGTGGAGTTTGTGGTAAACACTTTCTAAATGGCAAATATGGTAAAATAGAGTTAGGGCATATATTAGAGCAGTTATAATAATGGAAGTATTATAGCTGAGAAATGTTGGAATCCTTTGTAGCATTACATTTAAGTAATTAGAGAATGTAGACTAAATAATAGGTCATAGAGGAAATGTGCATTTGCGAAAAAGTTAACTGTGCTCAGCACTGCTTTGAATTCTGCCTTGTCAAGAGTTTAAATAGTTTAAAATAGTAGTTTTTACTTGTATGGTCTGACTGTCTCTTTAGAACATTCTGAAGGTAGTTCTGAATTGTTTTTAATATAGTCTTAAATTATTCACAGTAGTATATTCTGAGCTTTTAGTATCAGGAAGTGGTTCAGGATTGTCCAGCTTTTAAAAGAGGAAGAGCAGTAGGGTGTGCATTAACTTGGGGAGTTGCCACTGATAAATTATTTTAAACCACAAAAATTAGTTTCTATGTTTCTAAATGTTTCTGATGTTGACTAAGATTTGTCATAGTTTTTATGATATAAAATAAAAATATTTGTTTTCACTATAACATTCAACTTCACTTGTATCATACATGCTTTTTTTCTTAGAGACATCTCTTAGCTGTTAATTTAAATATAATTTTAGATTATCTTTCCTGCCCCACCCTTTAGATAGTTAGAATGTGGCAATAAGTAAAGAGTGCAGAACTGGCAAGCAGAGAATTAGAGTCCTCCTCAAACCACAGAGAATCCACAAGGACAAAGTGATTTCTCTTCTGCAGAAAGACCTCATTCTGACCAGCAGGAAAACTTTGGTAGGCAGGTGAATTCAGGATTCATGTACTGCACCCATCATAGTATCAGCTCTTGGGAATGGGTGTGTCAGTCTGTGTGCTCAGTTCTTGGGGCCTCCATGAGCTTCCAAGAAAGASTTTTTAAAGTGTAAGGAAGGGGCTTAAGAAAGTCCCAGCCAGTTTCACCTGGGCACTGGATATTTGCATTTGGTTGCCACTAGACTAGTTTGTGCCCCTGCCTGCAAACCAGAAAATGTTGATCTCGGATTAGTTTTGGTTGGGTTTTTTTTGGCTTTTGTTTGTTTTGTTTTAGTTTGTTTTAGTTTGTTTTGGTTTTGTTTTGGTTTGGTTTTTTTTTGGGTTTGTTTGTTTGTTTTGTTTGGCCTAACACTCAGAGAATTTGAGAAAATCATGCCTCTCTTTTGAGTATGTAATTCCTGACTTCCTTTTATATATGCTTACCTTGAAGATCGAGCTAAAAGCTTAGACAAATAACATTAATTTGGATCTGGAGAATGGCATTGTTGGTCCTGAACTGTATAACATAAAAACATATAAACAGTTTCTACAATATAGAATAAAATGGTCTTTTTAAATCTGTTCAGTTACTTCATTTTCTTTTAATTTTTTTTATCTGTGCTAAATGGAAATAGTTGTCCAGGTTAATAAGTTAATAATAAGTTGTCCAAGTTAATAACTGGTGATTCTCAGACTAGTTCTCAGTAATTCTCCACTGGAAAGAAAACAGTAARTCTACAATTTTTAGCTGCTTGTTAATTGTAGAAAAGATGAGAAAACAATTTTGGTCAGCACAGATGGTAATTTCTTTGATATTTAGAGATAATGTCAAACTGCCTTGTCCAGTACATGCTGAGACCAAAACCAGTATCAGTAGAKTTTTGCTAATTATCTACTGCCTTRACRMAGAARTTTAAMTTTTTTTTTCTTTCTTTTGCTGAAAGGTATAGCCAAATGGATTAAGCATTGTGTTGAAAGATAAAGTGCATCTCTTATTTAAGATGACTGCTTTTTCTTTTTCAAACTGTGCTATTGTGTTAATAGTATGAGTCAGAAGTAGGATGAATCAATCCAAAGTCTTTGCARAGTAACAATAAGGAATGTTCTTACTGGGTAGCCTTTATTTTTGTTACAGATCAAAGGCAGAATAAACCTAAACTTTAAATAAAAAATAAACACAAAGATGAAAGAATGTATTTGGTCTTTGTAATAGCCAAAGATTGTCCTAAATTGCATATCCGAAACAAAAGTTATTGCTCTAGAATCACACATCAAATGAAGCTTGTGGAAGCATGCTTTTCCCCCTTGCCTTCTTTTGAGAAGGGTAGATAAGGGGTGCATGAATTAAAAAACAAACAACCCAAGACATTAAGAAATTCACAACCCCTCTGGGAAGGCTTGTTCAAAGCTTGTAAAGAGCATTTGCTTCTTATATGGATGTCAGCACATGTAGCTGCAAAAGTCTGGTGAGAACCTTGCACAAGGTGAGGCCCTGAAAAAGGTTTGTAATCCAAAAAGTCGAAACAAGGTGGTGCCCCACCTGGCAGTCTGGATTTCTCGGGRGAGGCTTTACCAGACCTTTCCAGAAGTGCCTGTCCAGATGAACTCAGCTCAGGAGCACTGAGAGTACTTTGAACCCCTCAGAAGATTGTAGGAGATGGACTTTCCACCTGCATGGGAAGSTGGGAGGAAAGACAAAGTAGGACAGGACTGGGAAAGGACAAGAAAATAGATTATTGCTCAAAAGACAACAAAAAACCAATGGGGGGGGGGGGGGCTTGTCACGT